TCTCTCACTATGCAGAAGCTCCTTCATTGCCCTATATTACGTTCAGCGAAGCCCCATTCTCATCCAACATCCACCTTCACTTCACTTTCAGAGAGCTCCCTCACCAACTTGAACGTTTCCAATCAAGTCCTCGCCCTTATCAACTCGTCACACCCTTTCGGCCCCTCCCTCGGGAGATTAATTGCGTTTCTCAATCGCGAAATCGTGATTTCAGTGCTTCAGTCCCAGGCGGAATTGAAGAAAGATCCCAGAATTAGCTTCCGATTCTTCATCTGGGCTTCCGGAGAACGGCGACTGCGGAGTGGGGCTTTGTACAATTTGATGGTTGACCTGTTATTGTACGGTGGCGACGGCGAGAGTTCTTCATTTGATTTGTACTGGAGCGTGCTGGATGAATTGAGAAATGAGAAGCTGTACATTTCTGCGGATGCGTTTGTAGTGTTGATATTGGGTTATTGGAGGTTGAGGAAAGCAGAAAAGGCCGTGGAGACGTTCGGTAAGATGAGGGATTATGGGTGCCGGCCGAATTTAGCTGCTTACAATGTCATATTGAATGTTCTGGTCAAGCAAAACTTGATTTTGCTGGCATTGGCGGTTTATAACAACATGTTGAAGTCCAACTATGAAATCCAGTGCGACACTTTCAACGTTTTGATTGATGGCTTGTGCAAGAGCCGGATGACTCTTGATGCACTCAGGCTGTTTGATGAAATGACTGAGAGAGGAATACTGCCAAGTCGTATTACTTACACTGTGGTTATATCAGGGTTGTGCAAGGCGAATAGGGCGCATGATGCGCATAAGCTGTTTATCTCGATGAAGAATAATGGCTTGAAACCTGATTCCGCCACATACAATGCCTTGCTTGATGGGTTCTGCAAGTGCGGCCGGATGGATGAGGCGCTGCTGCTTTTCAAGTCATTTCGAGAGGATGGGTATAGTGTTGGGATACGGGGGTATAGTTGTATGATTGATGGTTTGATAAGGGCTAAGAGGATAACTGAGGCTGAGAAATTGTTTCAAACGGTTGTTGATATAGGTTTGACACCTGATCTCATCTTGTATTCCATTATGATCCGAGGGTTAAGTGAATCGAGAAGAGTGAGTGATGCCATGAATATGTTCAAGGACATGATTGGGAAAGGTATTGTGCCTGACACTCAATGTTATAATGCGTTAATCAAAGGATTATGTAACGTGGGACTATTGGATGAAGCTCGATCTCTCAAACTAGAGATTTCCCAGCATGATCAGTTCCCTAACACCTGCACTTACACTATTCTTATTTGTGGTTTGTGCAGGAATGGTCTGCTGGGGGAGGCCCAGCAGATTTTCAGTGATATGGAAAAGTTCGGTTGTTCTCCTTCTGCAGTGACTTTTAATTCCCTTATTGATGGGCTCTGCAAGGCCGGTAAGCTTGATGAAGCCCACTTGATGCTCTACAAAATGGAAATTGGAAAAAACCCGTCGTTGTTTCTTCGACTTTCTCAAAGCACTGATCCCGTTCTTGATAGTTTGAGTCTACAAAAAATGGTCAACAACTTGGTTTCCTCCGGTTCAATTCTTAAAGCTTACAAGCTTTTGATGCAGCTTGCTGATAGTGGGGTTGTCCCGAACATCATCACGTATAACACGTTGATCAATGGCATGTGTAGGGCTGGGCAGGTTAATAGCGCTCTTAAGCTTTTTGAGGAGCTCCAAATCAAGGGGCGTTTTCCTGATTCTGTAACATACTCTACTCTCATAGAGGGGCTCCAGAGGGTGGGTAGAGAGGGTGATGCATATAAGTTGTTTGAACTAATGAGTGAAAATGGATGTAAGCCTAGCTCGTCTGTGTATAAAACGCTTTTGTGCTGGTCTTGCAGAAGGAAAGACACTTCTAATGCTTTTAATATTTGGTTGAAGTATCTAAGTAGGCTAGCCGGCCGGGAAGGTGAAGCATTAAAATCGGCTGAAGAACTTTTTAAAAAAGGTGACTTGGAGAAGGCCTTGAGAAGCTTACTAGAAATGGAACACAAGTTGGCTGACTTTGATTCAGCTCCTTACAGCATTTGGCTTGTTGGCTTGTGTCAGGCTAACAGAATTGAGGACGCTTTGAAGACATTTTCTATTCTTGAGGAGTTTAATGTTTCTGTTTCTGCCGCTGGGTGTGTAAAGTTGATTGATGCTCTTTGCTCTGCTGGAAATCTCAACGAAGCAGTTGATGTTTTTCTCTACACCATGGAGAAAGGCTACCGATTGATGCCTCGAGTCTGTAACAGTTTACTTCAAGCTCTTTTTGATTCAAAAGATAATACGACACTTGCTTTTGAGCTTCTGGACAGAATGAAGTCTGTGGGCTATGAATTAAGTTCTTATCTTCACCGTAGAACAAAGTCTCATTTAAATGAAAAATTAAATTTGAGATGAATAGCTTAGAAGAGAGCATGTCTGGAGATTTGGACGACATATATGCTGCCTCTATTACACCTGAAAGAAGTTGAAAAATCAAGATCGATCTTCTCATTTGCTCTGGGGAATTTCAGGTAAATTTTTATTTTGTTAGTCTCCAATTTGGTAACTGCGATCGTTTCTGTACTTAGGTTTATTTCATGGTTTTGGTTTTGGTTTGTTTATTATGATGGATGGATCCATGAAGCTCCGAGAGAAGAAGTTTGCATGAGTGACATATGAGGACGATTTTTGAAAAAACTGGTGAAAAAAATTGACATTAATGCAATTGATGACTATTAGATGCATGTTAGTTGTGTTGAATAGCATTTCATTGTTCTGACTTCAGAGTGTTTGTTAATCTAGTTCTGTCTAAAGAGTGAACTTCCAAACTTGAGGCCTATTAAGTATAGCCTGTGCGAAATGCATAATGAAGCCATCTTCTCTATGCTAATGACAATGCAGAAGTAAGTTTCCAGTAGAAACATCTTTTTCAACCAAATGACTTGATAGGTTCTCAGACCAATTCCTGAATACGCAATAATTTATACATGCAATAGAAGTAATACTTCCTTGTGATCGGTTCTGATGCTGCTTGGGATATCTAAAGATTAAGATTGGTGTGTTGCTGATGGGGAATCAGACCATGGATTTGTTTGTTATATAGGCTGAAAAAATGAATTAAAGAAATGAATATAAATAAAAAATGAAAACATAAAAATAAAATATTTAACCATAAAAAATTGGTGTGTTGCATAAGGATTAAAGTTACTCAAATTAAAATTTATTTATCAAGGTTTTAACATTTAATGCACTTAATAATTATAGCGGAAGATAAATATTAGTATGAGTTAAACGTTGGTCAATTATCAAACAATGTGCAACTTATGAATTGTTGAAAAAATTATAAGATTATGATAAACGACAATTTTATAAGTACATACAAGTAATTTGTATGTAAATATAATATGATCTTATACATTTACAATATATTATAATCTTATAAGTAATAAAATTTATATATTAAATAGTAGAAAACTACCAAAAAATATATTAAATAAAAATTAACAATAATAGTAAATGAATAAATTTTATATTATTACTTAATAGAATATTGTAGAAAATATAATTTTATATTGTCTGAAATAATTTTATAATATTTAAATAAAAATATTTTTTGTATTGCACCCCGTGCATTGCACGGTATCAACATCAGTTCTGTGAAGACGACTTAGATTGGGTGGGGAAAACACAGTACTATAATAGGATAATAAATGTTTAATTTAATTTAGATATGTAAATGGAGATTAGGTTTAGTTGGTGTTGGGAAGAATATTTCTCCAAAGTAGTTGTATAAATTATTCCCATCAAAGTCTGGTAGCAGATAGGATAAAAGCTGGTGTATGGTCTTCCATGAATACTATTGCTGCATAATCTGTTTAAATAAGTTCATCCTTGGGTTTAGTTTGAGCTTATTGTTAGATAAGCACTATTCTTTACGTTTGTATATTTAGTTCTACTCGTGTGTTTCAGGAAGAAGTAAAGTCGACATGGAGAGGAATTTTATATCTAAAAAGGAATTTTCGGGCAATGGTATGAATACTTGGGGGCTATCAAATTCGTGTCGAAACATAGATCAAGTATGCAGGCATGATTAGTTGATTACAACAATTGGGTCCATTCATTGTTTTCTGGAGGTGAACAAGATGACGACTGATGGGAACCACTGAATACGAAGTTAGTAATGCTTCTTGTTCAGTTCACGTGCCCATGGATTTAGGTAATCGGAAAGAGTGAAGACGACAGAGGAATTTGATATTTGCATTTGCGTACAATAGTATGAAATGCCTGAAGAGTCACAACTGTAGTTAGTTTTGATGTTTAACTGTTTACTGTAATCAACAATAGTTCGTGTGTTCCCATGCATGGCTATAGAGTTGTTTACAAATACTGTTTGTATCACAAATAACCAAGATGATCACATGAATTGTTATTAATTTTCTCTTACATGTGAGGCAATGAAAATTTCTAACGAGCTCCAAATTCAAGGACGACTAAAGGAGTATTGTGAAAAATAAGGGAAACCATCGAACGACTGAATCAGGTAAAAAAAAACAAAAAGAAAGAAAGAAAGAAAGAAAAAAATATAACAAATAAATAAATTGATGAATTTTCCATTTTCTATATGTAACATGCATGCATAAAACACATGCTCTTCAATTCCTACAGTCCTTGAACACCTCTATATAATCATGAACATTGCCTTCTCAGGGAATACAACAACACAATTTTCAAAATACTTCACTGAGTACCACATGGCCAAAACTAACAAACTGGGCAAACTCATTTCTGCACAATTCTCGTCCTCACACAACCTAAAAAGAGTCGAGCGAAAGAAAGTAACATGTCAAAACAACTGTTGTGTATAGCAAATGCATAGGGCATGCATAGTCCAATGTTTTATAACGAAATGCAAAAGTACCTTCTTCCTCCTCGAATTGAACTTCCTTCACTACTTCTGCAGCAGCATTATACTCAAACCTGTTCATAATGTGATGACTAGCTATTAGACAGGTAATAATAAGTAGATATATGCAAGAACTTTTCGGATTATAGAAGAAATTTCTAAGCAGAAGCAAAACGTATATAAATAGGCAGCACTTGCAACCAGAAGGTTGCGCTGATTATTAAACTAGTGTTTGGCCAACACAGGGACGGATCTACATGTAAGTTGGGGGAGGCCATTGTCCCCCCCAACATTTTTTATTTTTTCTACTAAGTATAAATAAACTTATATTTTTATAATAATCCTCAAATTAAATAAATAAGTTAAGGCTTTGATAATCAATAGTCTTACCTCAAAATAAAGAATTCAAAGAAGAGTATTAGTAGAGGTATAAGTAGATCTTGTACTAATTATTAAATATAATAAGTAGATTTTGTAAGTCGTCTATAAATACGCTTGTATGTAACTTAATACGAGAAATAAATTTAATATACATAACACTTAAGATATGAAATTTAATATGGTGGGAATATATGATATATGGTTATAGAAAATTCGTACATGAGATTATTCTTTTATTTTTCTGGATTTTTATATTGTACATGTTCGAGTGAATTATTAATATGTTTTATATTTTGTGAAATTAATTAATTTTAATTGCATGCAAAGTTTGGAAGTACATCTTTGTTCTATTATATGGAATACGTGATGTTTTTGAAAATTATATTATTTACCGCCTCCCCCACTAAAATTTTCTGAATCCGCCCCTGGGCCAACATTTTATGCAAGTGTTTTATTTGTGTGTTCCGAGTTACATATGCTGCCCTTTCCAAAGTCTAAACATGAATCACTTTTTTTCTTAAGGTTTAATGTTCATCAAGCAAACTTTCATATTTTTTTTTTCCAATAAATTATTGAAGATTTGGAGTCGGGGAGAGATGATCAACGATGCAGTATGGAGCATAAAATCCCCAAGCTTCAAAAATTTATGCCTCATCTATGCACTTTGTGTGAAATGATAGTTCAAAAGAAAACAAATTCATTAATCTACCTGTTAGATAGAGAAACCTCGAGTTCATAGTCCGAAGCACTTTTTGTAGCATCGGCCAAGACGGTCACAATTTCCGTCTTTCGTGTGCTAGCCATGAGTAAGTCATATTCTGTAGGAATAATAATGGCAAAGAAATTGTCACTCAGTTCACTTAAACAAAGTTTCTCGACAGCGGCTAGGGCTATTCTTCTTTTGAGCGCATCAGTATTTGGGTCCACAATGTAAATGGCAAAATCAGTAATTAGAAGTATTCGTCTTTTCATCTTCCCTGAGCCAGTAAACTTTAAAACTTTATCCGCAAAGAGAACTTTTCTGTCACCTGTGTGAGATCATATACAGTGATATAAAATTTGTTAGCAAGCAAATATCAATGCATTTAGAGACTTAAGAACTAGGCCACCTATACATCAGCGAAACACTGGGAAACCAATATTTCACAGCTACCATTTTCTCATAATCTACTACTGCAAAAAGGTAGTCATCCCATTCTTTTAAGCAGTAGCATAACATCAAGAGCATCAAATGTACATTTCCAGACAACACAAATGCACTTTCAGGAGTATGCACGGCAACAAACGAGTGCATTTTAGCCAATTGACTCGGAGAGAACAAGAAATTTGCATTAGGGTACAACATCTTCTAGTTTAATGTTTGCCGAAGATAGCATGGTACAAAAAAGTGTGTCATTAAACAGATAAATGGTGCTCTTTAATTTCTCTGTCAACAGTGTAGAACACATTAAACACAAAACAGAGCAAGCACATTCAAAATTCATCAGCCCAGCAACACAATCATCGTTTTATCGACCAGGCATTCCATTTTCAGCCATGGACCCTTTTTTCTCTTCCACCAGAGAATGTTAGGAATTCCTGTGTGGTGATGCTTCTTACTAGGCTATCCAATATGATAAACCTTGAAAATTTTAGAATTATAGTAAAATGACAAGATAAATTATTGCTCAAACAAATCCTCATAGTGGAAACTGAAATGCACACTAATTACTCTGGCAAAGTTTCAGACAGTATGAAATCAAAACACCAGGGATCTCCATATCCCATACATTCATGGAAAAAAAATTGAATTGAATCCAGGAATTGACCGAACATCAATCACACAGAGAGATCCACAATGTTTACGCAGAGAGAGAGAGAGAGAGTGAGACAGAGAGAGAGAGAGAGAGAGAGAGATTTTCAAACCCTGCTTCTCGAGAATTTTCATAAGATGCGGGCTGGATTGAACATCGAGGTAATCGCCGAGGTAATCCCGGTGACGAGAAGCTTTCCTTCGAACCTTAACTCCCATGAAAGGTTCCAGATCCTCCGTCACATTGCTACCTGATGGCCGAAGTCTCAGGCTGCCACCGTCCTCATCCAGGGTTTCTTCGTCATCGAACCGTGGCGGTGGATCCCCCGATCCATCGATTTGGATCCGACGGCTCGCCATCAGCAGAAGCCGGAGAGAGTATTGGGCAAAGCTACTGCGTCGGACGGTGGTTGGGGACGGCGCACCTGCTGGCCGGTGAGCTGGGAAGTCAGGTTTGGTTGGCCCAACTGTACACACTTCTATTTTGATGGATGAATAACATTAGTGATTTTTCCTTATTCAATCTGACTCGTGTACGCGTTTCTTTGGTTTGCAAATTTTTTATTATTTATTTTTTAAAATTGTCGCCTATAATACATAAAACTGATATATTAAAACTTTTGGCTCGAAAATATTCAAAATTCCACTACAAAATTGGTGAAAATCCCCCAAAAATTCAAAAACTTCATAGGATAATCGATGAAATTCAAATAAAGATTAAGAACATGAGAAAATGTATGCATTGAGGCTTAAAAGAGAACTAATAAAAAGTGAAATTAAAAGATACATTCAGTTTTAGAGGAAGTTTGTGAAAGGGCCAGACATACAAAGAAATAAATTGAAAAATCGGTGTATTGTTTGTAATTCTGACAATTGTACTTACGAATACCAGTTGGCCGTGCATTTGTCGGCTCAATGGTTGTGAATTGGTGGAAATTCCAAATTACAGAATATATCTAAAATCCATTGTTCTAAAAATTGGACCGGATTGGACCGGGAACCGACCTTCATTCCGGTCCGGTTCAAACCGGTCAAAAACCGTTCGAACAGGTCCAAAAACTGATTGAACCAATGAATCGGGATCGTTTCCACTTGTTCAATGGTTCAAGATTTTGAATTTAAAATTAGTTGATTGTGAAGTGATTTAAATAGCACACATTTTTTACTTGTGTTTCTGATGTGGGATATGTTCACTTGTTAAAGTTATTGGGCTAATATTGGGCCCCATAAGCAATATTGTACTCTTTATAAAGTACTATTTTTTAAATTGGACTATCTATTGGGCTATGTCTATTATAAATTATTAAAAAAGAGATAAGCAAATTAATGTACATTATTTTTATTTTTTATTTTTTAAATCAAAAATAAAAAATTTAAAATGTGATGAAAAATGAAAATATGATTGTTTATATTCTCTCTATTTTGTAACTTAAATATATAATAAAATTATAAATGTAAAAAATAAAATAAAACATTGTCAGTTGTATCTGTTATTGAGTTTTTATTTAGAGAAATGTCATACACTATAAAAATCATAAAATTAATGATAGAAAATATATAACTATATATTATACATATAAAATAAATAAAAAATTATATATTAATTAAACCGGTTCGACCAGTGAACCATTGAACCAGTAGCTTTACCGGTGCGATGACCGGTTCGAGTTTCACAACCAAGCTAAAACCATTTTCCATAATATTAGAAAAAATGTGAAGAAGACAACAAAAATATCCTCTAACCCACTAACTTTGGGAAACGATCTCAACCGTACACGCGGTTGTGATCTCAACGGTTCACAAGCAACAGTGTAAAACCAAAACACGTTTACATAAGTAAATCGCGTATATAACAATAGGAAAGACAAAACATATAGAAAACATAAAATGAAATATAGAAACGGGTGCATGAGTCCATGCACATGTGCGCTGTAGCATGAAGAACTTTTATACCCCCTCCTCAAGTCGAACTTGGAGCCAAAGAGGCCAAGCCGAGCTTGCACAACAACCAACGAAATTGGGGACCAAATAGAAGCTTAGTGAAGATGTCGACTAGCTGAAGTTTGGTAAAAACATGAAGAAGAGTGAACTTTTCTTTACATTTGTCACGGACAATGTGGCAATCAATGTCGAGGTGTTTGGTGCGATTATATTAAATAGGGTTGGATGAGATGTGAATAGTTGCTTGATTATCACAAAAAACAACAAACAAAAGAGAGAGAGAGAGAGAGAGAGAGAGAGAGAGAGAGAGAGAGAGAGAGAGAGAATAGGCAGAGGCACAACAATGTGAAACACGAAGCAGACATAAGATATCCATCGAAGCTCATGAATTGTGTTGCTTAAGAAACGATATTCAGCCTCGATTATATACTTAGAAGTCATGCATTGTATCTTTATCTTCCAAGAGATGAGAAAAGTGCCAAGGAACACACAATAACCAGTACTTGATCTACGAGTATCCTTACAAGCTACCCAATTTGCATCTCCATAAGCCAAGAGAGTAAACGAAGAGGCAGACGAATAGAACAGACCCATATGAAAAGAACCATTGAGGTATCTTAGAACATATAAGGCAACTCTCCAATGACCAGTGCAAGGATGATAGACATATTGACTCAGTTGTTGAATTGAGTATGTAAGATCAGACCTAGTAAAGTTTAAATACAAGAGACGACCAATTAACCTTATACATTTCTCAGGATCTTCAAGAGGAACACCCTGATTAGCTGTGTGAGAGAGAGACCATGTGGTAAGGGAGTTGAGACAAGTTTGCAAGAATCCATGTGAGTAGTAGCAAGTAGATCTTTGACATATTTCTACTGACTGAGAAATCTCCGTTCAGAACTCTTTGAAATCTCCATCCCTAAGAAATATCTTGCTGCTCCTAAGTCTTTGATAGTGAAAAGATCTTGTAGATAAGGACGAGGTGGTCAAAAACGTTTACCTTTGAAGAAAGCTCGAACATTGTGGTTGAAAAATAGTAGACGTGAGTTTAAATTTTCAAATGTAAGACTTTGGGGAGAGGTCGAGAAAATTTATCACGGTATGATAAAAGTCCAACTAAGTAGGTCGAGAGATATCAAAGAAAGGTCAACACTGCAAAATGAGGAGCAAAGGAATCTACTATAGGAATCAAGGTTCGACCTGAAGGTGGAGTCAGGTCATTCAGTATTCAAACTCATTGGCGAGTCATTTGGTTCTCGACCTTAGTGGAAAGTCATTCGGTATTCGACCTCATTGACATGTCATTCAGTTTTCGACCCGGTGGAAGGTCATTTAGTTCTCGACCTCAGTGGAAGGTCATTCAGTTCTCTACATCATCGAAAGTCATTTGATTTTTTACCTTAGTGGCAGATCATTCGATTTTCGACCTCAGTGACAGATCATTCAGTTCTGGACCTCAATGGTAGGTCATTCAATTCTGTACCTCATTCGCGGTCATTCATTTTTTCGACCTCAGTGGCAGGTCATCCAATTTTCGACCTTAATGGCAGAAGATTCAGTTTTCGACCTCAATGGCAGGGCATTCGGTTTTCGACCTCATTGTCAGGTCATTCGGTTCTCAACCTCAGTAGCAGGTCATTCGGTTCTCTACCTCATCGACAATTATTCTACTTTGTAACCTTAGTGGAAGGTCATTCAGTTTTCAAACTCATCGACAGTCATTCAGTTTTCGACCTCAGTGCAAGGTCATTCAGTTTTCAACCTCAGTGGCGGGTCATTCGGTTCTCTACCTCAGTAGCAGGTCATTTGTTTCTCTACCTCAGTGGAAGGTCATTCGGTTCTCTACCTCATTCGCAGTCATTCAATTTTCAACCTCAGTGACAGGTCATTCAATTTTCGGCCTCAGTAGCAGGTCCGTCGGTTCTCATCGACAGCCATTTGGTGTTCAACCTCAGTGTCAGGGAGTTCGGCTTTCGACCTCATTGGAAGGTCATGGGTTCTCGACCTCATCGGTGGGTCATTTAGTTTTTGACCTCATCGGCGGGTCATTCAATTTTCGACCTCGGTGGAAGGTCATTCGATTTTCAACCTCAATGACAGGTCATTCAATTTTCAACCTCTATGACAGGTCATTTAGTTTTGGACCCCATTGACAGGTTATTCGGTATTCGACCTCAATGGAAGATCATTCGATATTCGACTTCAGTCAAAGGTCATTCAGTTTTCGACCTCATCGGCAGGTCGGTTTTCGACCTCAGTGGTAGGTCTTTTGATTCTCGATCTTATTGAAAGGTCATTCAGTTTTTGAACTCTTCAGAAGATCTTTCAGTTCTCTACCTTGTTGACATGTCTTTTAGTGCTTATACGGAGGCTATTCAGTGGTCATTTAGGGTCTTCAGTGATCATTTAGGTCTGTCGGTGCTCATTTAGAGGTTATTCGGTGGTCACTCAGGATATTTGGTGTTCATCTGGTGGTCGAGGATTTATAATTATAACCTCAATGGCAGGTTGACGAAAACAACCAGAAGATGCATTTCACTCTTGGATCGTGTTATGCTTACTCGACTAGAGTGAGGGGGACTAGATGATATGGAATATAATAATAGATCAGTTTTAATGGATACGGAGGAATATACTGAGGAATAAACCTACACATGGGGAACACGTGTCATAGTGGAATTGCTCAATCCCAACTTGAGCAATAAGGTGCAGCTTCCCTATAAAATGGGCCTAAAGTATTTAAAAAACACACACTCTCTATATTCACTATTGTACTCTCATATTGCACTTTATCTATGACGAGTGCTGACTTAAGCATCGGAGGCCTGACGCTGGGACCCCTGGTGTAGTTCTTGCAGGTATGGAGGTCGTCCGAGTTAAAGGAGCCCGGGTGAAGTCCATTTCACCAACTCGCATGCACATACTCAATTAGTTCAGAAGAGGAAGGTTGTCTTGCCATAGAAGAAATAAGGAAACACACGCTTGGTTATTTACCAAGCACACAAGAATCACAAAATGGCACACAAGACAATTTATCACAACCAAAAGAACCATTTTTTTTCAAAATCTCAAGACTCCTAGAACTTATGTGACCTAAACGCTTATGCCATAAATCAGTTTTGTCACCAACGACATCATTCACAAGGTTTTGTATACAAGATTAAACAACACAAACATACAAGTTCAACTTTTTAACATCTTTGAAGCTCACCAAAGAACCCTTCAAAATTTCATAATACCATCTCCCCGTTTACCCTCTAAACAAACATCTTCTAAACCAGCACATGATATCAAGTTATGGCACAAATAAGGGCATGCCTCACATTCTTCAAGGTTAACACATAAACATAATCAAATCTCAAGCAAATATCACAAAGACCAACAACTTCACATGATTTCACATTAGCCACAAAAAC